GGTCAGCAGGTGGTTCCAGAGCGGCTGCTTGGACAGGGCCTTCGGGTTGCCCACAATAATGACCCCATATCTGCAAGACGTGGGCACAAAGAGTGCCGTGCTTAGGGCTGCACAGTGAGCAGAGCACTACGCAGATCGGTCCAAGGCAAGAGCAAACAAACTCGAAACCCAAGTCCAGAGTAAAAGGTGCCCAGGCAGCTCTCCTGGCACCCCGCCCACCAGGCACCCCTCCTCTTGCCACACAGGAGCCTTGGGGGCCACCCTCAACCTCCCTAACCAGATGCCTGCCCTGCCTATGCCAGTGCCCGCCGTGAATGCTGGGGACAGACGGGTAACTGCAAGCCGAGGTGACTTTCACTGGAGCCCACCCTGTAAGCCGCCGAGCCTACACTCGGGTTTATTTGAGGGCAGATTTCTGTGGAGCCCAGATGTCAAAACACCTCTGTGGGCCGATGAGCTCAGAGATGAGTCTCCTTGTTTGCAACCATGAGTCAGCCTCCTGGGCACTATGTCATAAGTGGCCCAGGCAGGCTCCACAGCGGCTTCGGGACCCCTGATGGGTCGGGCATGTAACTCGAGGCCCAAGCTGAGCTGCTAATGGATGCTTACACTCCTCAGGCTGTGCTGGGACCACCCCCGCCCCCGCTGGCCACCAAACAAATAGGGTAACAAACGAAAACCAAGGTGCCCTCAGTGGGGAAGGAATCAACATGCGAACGTGAGCCCTGCTTGGGGCTGGTACGATGGTGGCTGTTGTCTGGTGTCACGTGGGGTAACACGGGGTCCACCTTGCCCTCTGGGTCCCTCACCATTTCAGAAAAGTTATATTCCAGAACTGAACAAGGCAAATAGGACTAAAACATTAGACTCATGGATTAAACAACTTGACAAGGTTGCTGTTGGGATGGAATTTCTTTCGAGACTGAGGCCACAGAAAGCCACCAGGACACAGAAACAAAGACAACTCATGAGTGAGACGTTCTTTCCGAATTGCTGCTGGGAGCCCTCTGACCACTAGCACTGGCGAAGCCCCTCTACCATGCCCTGTGCCCCAGCCCAGGGTGCAGCTGGGGTACGAGAATTAATAGGAAGAGAACCAGGCACTGAGCAGCCTCTTGGGCCAACCCCTCCCAGCGCCTCAGAAGGACTCCTATGCAAGAGGAGCCACCAGCAAGGCCCAACAGGACTCAGTCCTCCATACCGTGCTCTGGTCAAGGCCACATTAAGCCTCCTGGGGTCGTTTAAAAATCCAATGCCTTGGTGCTCATTCGCCCGCACACAGGAGAGGATGATGAAGTCCTTCTCGCGGCCCTGGAACGCATCCACGCTGGCAATCTCTACCTCCTGCAGGGGCAACGGTCACGGTCAGCCAATAGGCTTCCTTCAAGGACCCCTCAGCCTGGTGTGCTCAGCCTGGTATTAAGATGTACCATCAAATCCCAGCGATGAGCCTGGGACCTGAAGCCTGCAGAGCCCCTAGGTGCTGGCCACCGGCTCACTGCGCCTCTGCTACGAGGTGGTCAAAGGTCAGTGCCTGGGGTAGGAGCCAGCAGACCGGACTGGGCGCGCGCACCTGGTAGAGCTTGGTGTGCAAGGAGCCACTGAACTGCATGTACTGCACCAGGTAGGAGCGCTGGCCCTCATAGGGCGTGATGATGCCGATCTGGTCTGGCTTGGCGCCCGCCTTCAGCAGCTTCGTGGTGATCTTCTCCACATTTGCAGCCTCCGTCCTAAGAAAATCAGGCTTTCACTTCCCAGGCTCCACCTGTGGGCTCCTGAGACCCCCCCCCCCACAAGGCTGGAGGCTGTGGGAGGCTCAGGGGCAGTTCCGCCTCCAGCACGACCCTGGGAAGGCCCTGCCCAGTGCGGCCACAGCTGGGCTGCCCATCCTTTACCAAGGGAGTCATAACAAGTCATAAGGGATAGAAAGGCTCACGCGTGGGCTTATGAAGGATCTGCTCAACATAAAAACATACGCTGAAAAGATGAGATTGGAAATAGGCTGTTGGTTTAAGTGTCTAAACAGAATAAGGATGAGGGGGACAAGGAAAAGTTTCACCACCACATTAAACAAAACCACAGGTTAGCAGTCACTGGACAAGCCGTCACTGAAGCCAGGAGACGCCACAGATGAGTCTCTGCTTACCTGTTTAGGTAGGAGGTGCCTGAGCTGGCAATCTCCTCTTGGCCCTGGGTCACATAGAAGAACATCGGTTTATCCGGTTGGGGCCACTGGAAGTCAAACCCCTTCTTCACACGATCCGCTGTCATTGTAGAGGAGAAAAAAAGAGAATATCCTATCAGAGAAGAAAGTGTAGGCAGTCTGGACTGAGCTAAGGTGGAGAGCTGAGTGGAGGCCATGCCATCCTGGGCAGGCACACAGTGGGGCAGGAAACCGCAGGCTCCAGGCAAAAGACCCAGGTCTGCGGGCCCGGGCCAGGCCACCGAGTACGTCCTCTGACCGAAACTCCCAGGAACACCTGGCACCGTGTCTGGGATGAAGCCGGCTCACTGGCTGAAAAAGATCTTACTTGTTAGTGCTTTCTGCAGGCTGTTTAAGAAACCTGTGTCTGGGGGCTTCCCTGGTGGCGCAGTGGTTGAGAGTCCGCCTGCCGATGCAGGGGACACAGGTTTTGTGCCCCGGTCCGGGAGGATCCCACGTGCCGCGGAGAGGCTGGGCCCGTGAGCCATGGCCGCTGAGCCTGCGCGTCCAGAGCCTGTGCTCCGCAACGGGAGAGGCCACAACAGTGAGAGGCCCACGTACCACAAAAAAAACAAAAAAACAAAAAAACTGTGTCTGCCCCAGGGTAACGAAGGTATTCTATTTCCTTCCAGAAGCTTTATGATGTACCTCAAGGGACACATATGCCCCTACAACTGGCTTTTAAGAATGATACTGTTGGGACTTCCCTGGTGGTCCAGCGGTTAAGACTCTGCACTTCCACAATGCAGAGGGTGCAGGTTTGATCCCTGGTTGGGGAACTAAGATCCCACATGACGCGTGGTGCGGTAAAAAAAGAAAAAAAAAAAAAAGAATGACACTGTTGAGCTGACCTCATCTTGTCACACACCAGGGCCTGTGGACACATGGGTCTGCCTCTGGACTCTATCCTGGGCACTGTGCCCAGTGTCTCTGCGACTACAGCTTTACAGTAACTCCTGACATCTCCTAGTACGAGTTGCCACCTTCGTCAGGCTCTTCATGTTCGTCTTGGGTGCCTGGTCCTTACAATTTAAAAAAATCAGCTTGTCAATCACATACCCCACCCGCACCTTTGGGAATTCTGACTGGAGTTGTACCTGATCAACAGATTAGTGTTAAGAAAACTGGTATTTTTGCATGAAAATAGCCTAACACTGATGAAGGATGCTTGACCCATGAGAACACGTTGTATGATCCCTTTTATGTCAAGCTGAAAATGAGGCAAAGCCTTAACCTTTCAAGCGAAGGCAGTGGCTGGCAAGCTTGGTGACCCGCTCACTGCTGGCAAATGCTTAACCACCTGCTGGGGGTAAGGCGAGGGCTAATCTACAGTGCTGGCCAATTTCTGTGGTGTAAACACTCCTGCCACCACTGATGTCAGGCTACCCTGAGTCCGTGGGTCTGGGCGGGCACCCGCACTGCCCTGGACAGGGGTCACTTCAAGGCTGCAAGGAGCTGGTCAGGTTGTGCTTTTAGCTGCAGGTGCTAGTTACACAGGTGTGTTCACTTAGTGAAAACTCACTAAGCTGAACACTTAGGATCTGGGCACTTTTTTACACTTCAGTAGAGAGTTAAAAAAAAATATACTCATGGGGTGCTATGTCCTGGGCACTGATGGTTCAGC